GACTGGCGACTCCCCAGGGGATGGCCTTTTCTGTGGTTGCTCCGGCCCTTTGGAACGATCTCCCCGTGGAGATTTGGACCCTCACCACCCTTCAAGCTTTCCGCAAAGCCGCTAAGACCTGGCTGTTCCGGCAGGCCTGGGGCTGATGAGTTCCCAGCCCCACTCGAATTGCTGATTGTTGTAGTTTTTAATCTGTCTTTATATCCTGTCTTGTTTCGTTCGTTTTTGTATTGTCCCCTTCGCCCATATGTCTGTTCGCCACCCTGAGTCCCTACGGGGAATAGGGCAGCATACAAGTCTAATAAATGGAATGGAATGGAAGAAAGCCAAACCATAAACAGATTTCCATTCAGTATCTAAGAATAATCCTAACCTTAACCCTAAATGCGTTTCCATCCATAACACTAACCACCACCCTAATCTAATCCTAAACCTAACTGGATATCCATCTTTAACCCTGACCTTAAACCTAATCCTCACCCTAATTGAATTTCCATCTCTAACCCTAATCCTAAACATATCCCCAAGCACCCAATCCTAACCCTAATGCAAAATCTAACCCTCAACTTAATATAAACCATAACCCTAATTGGATTTCCACCCTAAATCTTCCCCATACTGGATTGTCATTCTAACCCTAACCCAAACATGATTTCTATCCCTTCTATTCCTATCCATAAGGATTAGAATCGCTAGCAGCTCTAAAGCATAATGAGGCTCTACTCATTATGCTACTAGTGACATTATTTTTACTCTCGGAGTTCACGGATGCCTAAGCCTAACCCAAAGTGTGTGTTGATCCATGTTACTGTACTTTTCATAACAAAGCAAAAATAAGGGTGATTAGAAACAAGAAACTTCTTTTACACTCCAAATTCAGTCTGCTAACCCTAACCTTTTATACTTTTCAAGAAAAATACAAATGGAACTAGAATTGTTAGTGACCTCTTAAGCATATTAAGGCTTTTGAAACTACTAATGTTTTAGGGATGTTCTGAGTTCATGAATGTCTAACCCCAAACCAAAGTGCACCAACATCCCAATAAGATTTTATTGTAGGCTTTATAATGAATTGAAAATAAGAGGGATTGGAAATATGAGGCCTCTTAAGCATAACAAGTCTCTGAATAAACTCATCATGGTTTTATACTCCAAGTTCACAATGGATTAATGCAAACCTTTTTTGGATCCCATCACTAATGCTAATCCTAAAAGTAACCAGAACATTAATACTAACCCTTATCCTAACCCTAACCCAAACTCTTTCACGCAAAGTGTAACCCTAACCTCAAGCCTAATCCTTACTCTTAATTTAAATCCTAAATCCAAATCTAACTGGATTGCTATGCCAAACTCTAAGCCTAACTTGATTTCTAACCTTAACCCTGACTGGATTTCCAGCCCAATGGGGATTTTCCATGTAATTTATGAGGAAACTAAGAAAATAGGAATTCAAATTCTGAGAGGTCTCTTAAGTACAATGAGGCTCTCCAAATCTGCAATGATTCCTGGCAATTGCCTGAACTAGTCCTTGANTGCAAAAGGGGAATCACATGATCCCTTGGCCTTTAGTCATAAGTATAAATCAGTTGCCAAGCATCTGGATTTTGATCATGTGATCCCGGGGATGCTGCAAAGATCGCCTCTGCGGAAAACCAGTCACCTCACTTTTTTTTTCAGTCCAGTTGTAACTTTGAACGGCCACTATGTTTGAACTGTTGTGAGGAATGTTCCTATTTATAAAGTAATAAGGGATGAAAATCAAATAAAAAATAAAGTCGTTTTGTACTATGCCCCCCCCCTCCAAAAAAACCCCACAAGCGCTGTCTACAGGAAGGGGCTGAGCTGGACTTTGAACGGGATATTAGCAGACACCTCCCCCCACCAAAAAAAACCCAAAGCCAGCCCCGCTTACACTAAAGCAGGGGTCATCAAACTTGGCAACTTTAAGACTGGTGGACTTCAACTCCCAGAATTCTCCAGCCAGCATAGCTGGCTGGAGAATTCTGGGAATTGAAGTCCACCAGTCTTAAAGTTGCCACTGCACTAAAGCCTCGTTTCTTAATTCAAAACAAAAAAGAGAGCGGAGAGCCGACCTTCCCTCCCCCCAAACGCCCTGTCGGTCGCCAGAAGGACCCGGCAGGGGCGTCGAAGAGGAGGACGTGCCGCCACCCGACTGCGGCGCACGGTCTCCCCCGCTTCTCACCTGTGCGGATGCCCAGCTCCTTGGAGCCCCGCCCGAAGCCTCGCACCACCTCTCCGCGACAGAAGTACGGCAAGTTCTTCATGGCGACGGATCTAAGGCAGCCGCGGGACGGAACGCGGAGGAGGAGGCGGCGGCTGCTGTTCAAGCCTTGGTCTCCGGGTCCCCGCGACGAGAAGCTCGGCTGCCGCGAAGCGCCCCAGCCGCCTCTGGTCCGAGCGCCGACTTCTACGCACGGCTGTAGAAGAGAACTACCGGCGCGGAAGAGGCGGGACATCGCGTGACGTCACAGAAGCGGAAGGGGGGAGGAAAAAGGAGAAGAAGAAAGGAACGCAGGAACGTTCTAGCAAGCTCGGCCGTTTCCTTCCTACAAAGGTGGCTCCGAGGGCGAGAATTCGTCAGCCGCCGGTGGGTGGAGCCGCCGCATTTCCGCCCTGCGCGCGCGAGAGAGGATTGGCTGGGAAATGCCGCCAGCGCGCCTGCGCCTTGGCGTTCTCCGGCAGTGGTGTGGGCTTTGAAAGCTGTCGGTGGTGTGGAGGATGACGGCGCGGTGTTTCCCATCTGGTTCTTACAGATGAGCCCTTCTCCCTCCGCGAAACGGCTGGCGGCCCAAGGCTGCTCCCGGCTTTATGAAAGAAAGGCACCGACTTGCTTTAGGGGTTCTCGAGGCGATCGAGGAGTGTGTGAACTCCCCATGAAGGAAAAAAAATGACCTCGTTGCGGTTCAAGGCTTTCCGAGAGAAAAAAGCTTCGCTTTAATTAGGGTTTTGGTAGTTAAACTATTAATCCGTATATCACGAGGAGTCCCGGATTTTATTCTACAGGTTTGCGGCGGAGTCAGTCCGCACTGTCGAATAGACTGCGTTATTTTGCTTCAGACGTCAACAGATTTGAAAAATATTACCCTCTCCTTCCTTGGATCACAATGTGCGTTCCAAACTTTAATTCATATCAACACACACACACACCCGCCCCGTCCTCACACCGGGGAGAAAATCAGTTTTGGGTGTTGGAAGGTAGCACCCGCCTCTCTCCTAGAAAATGGAATATTTTAGGAAATATTAAAGGACCGAATATTTCCGCTAAAAGGGAGGCAGAAACACTGCTCCCACCCCCATCTTTGTCAATGGACCATTAAGGCCTAACCCAGTCTATTCTACATGACAAAGATCTAGCCCCTTCAGGCAGACCCATCTAGGAAACAAACTCACAGGGCACCTGGGAAAATTACATCAGCCAGCAAGGCAAACAAGCTTGGGTCTCAGGACAGCCTATGTAGTTAAGACCGTCCGTCCATCCGTCCCTGCCCTGGGAGTTTGGCAGCCAATCAGTGCATTTCTTGCACAGGAGAGGGTGGCCCTTTGGTGGGGTCCAACACAGGGCATGAAACACAGGGATTCTCAGCAAGCCAGCCCTTTTTTCTTCTTCACCTAACATCTTGAAGCATGTGATCACCTTTTCTGTTCAGAAGTTCAAGCCATGTGATCCTGTCCACCAATAAACCATCTTTCCTAACAGCTTCCATGTTTCCAGTGTCTTTCCCCACTTGGAACTAAACCCAGAAGGATATTTCTTCCAACATGGGAAAGCTGGTAAAAGTGCTGAATGTTCCTGGCATCAACTTTGAAAGCTACAAGGTGTTTCATTCAATACATGCATGCCCACAATGCACAGTCTTAGTCATTGAAATGGACTCCACGGCCCTCTTTCGAAAAGTAATATTGGATATGGTAAAACCAGCCTTCCCAAACTGGGTGGTTACCAGATGTGTTACACCAGCTAACTGTTTATCTCAGCAAGCTGGAAGAGTATGTTGGGTGGAGATGATAGGGGTATTGTAGGGTAAATGGGCAGAAGACTAGTGGAGCACATGCATGAACAACTAGCAGAAGATAATGAAAAAGCCTTAATCTTAATACACAGACAACCAGAGTTTCAACCGGGAAACAGCATTCTAGGCCAAGTCAAATGCAAACAGCTAGAAAATTCCTAAAAGCATTCAGATAAGTCAAGCCATCAATAGACGCATAGATAGAATACATTGACAAACCATTAAAAAGAGACAATAAAAAAGCCAAGAAAAGTCCAGAACAAAACCTGCCCAGCAGCCTATATCCAGATAACCAAGGATTAACACTAAAAGAACAATCAAGCAGAACAATATCCTAGTTGAGACACTACCAAGAAGAAAACCTCACCAGCACTAGCAGAGCAAATATATAGAAGTATATCTGAACAGGGAAATTAAAACCCACCCCTCTGCTAGAAAACTGAAATATCCTGGGAAATATTAAGAAATTAGAATATTATATTTCCCTGAATGTGAAATGGGAGAAACCTGTTTTTAAAGACAGAATACCTCCCTGAAGCTTCCTCCCCCACCCTCCCGCCTTTTATCAATGAGCCATTAAAGCCTGATCTAGTCTACTTTACATAATAAAGGTACGGGTAGCCTTCCACGGGAATTTACACACGAACAGGAAACAGAGAGGTGGGGCCGACCAGAGTACAACAAACCAGCAAGCCCCTTCTCTCTCTTCTTCACCCAACATTTGGAAGCATGTGACCCCTCCTTTTTTTCTATTCAGGAGCTCAAGCCATGTGATCCTGTCCACCATTAAATCATCTGTCCAAGCAGCCTCCATGTTTCCACTGTCTTTTTCCCCACTTGGAGCTGAAACCAGAAGAACATTTCTTCCAACAAAACTAAATCCCCAAACCCCATAACTAAATAAAGTTAAAATAATCCAGTACAAAGAAAAATGGAAGCGCAATGAAACAAATTCTAAAACACACATAGGTACAGTATATGGGGCTTGACATCCAAGTAAATGTTTAGAAAAAAAGCTGAGCAGATGGCCAACCCAGATTGGATCATCCCAAGAATCTTCTTCCATGCACCTAAGATTCCCAAACTGTTTTGAGGCTGTTATAACAGGATAGGAGGAAAATGGTGTTTTCACGGAACCCCTAAGATTTCAGACTTGCTTCAGAAATGGGTTATCAATGAGATGGAGGTGACATCATGGGAACATGCTCTTAAATATTTCAGTGGGGAGCCTTCTTGTGAATTAGTTAAGACATGCTTTTTTGGAATTCACCTAAACAATCCTGATCTATTATTTAAAGTTTCTGTTGAAATGTATGTAGAGAATGCCAATCCGGGGGATGGCAACTGCTGGCTGGCCTGAGGGTAGTTTCTACCCAACATATCTAGAAGGTACAAGTTTTGTAAAAAGTCAAATTACTGGTAATTAAATATTTCTTATTTCCACTAGATGGCGGATATTATCTATTGTTCTAAAAAAAGAGACTAGGTGTTCCAACTCCTAAGGAACAATCGCTTTAAAACTGAAGTCTGAAGTTTAGAACAGCATGCTACACAGTGGTGAAATTCAAATTTTTTTTACTGCCAGTTATGTGGGGCGTGGCTTGGTGGGTGTGGCAGGGGAAGGATACTGCAACATCCACATTTCCTCCCCACTCAAGGGGGAAGGATATTGCCAAATCTCCATTCCCACACACTCTGGGGCCAGCCAGAGGTGGTATTTGCTGGTTCTCCGAACTACTCAAAATCTCTGCTACCGGTTCTCCAGAACCTGCTGAATTTCACCCCTAATGCTACATAATCTGGCTAATAATTCTTATTTGGAACGTTTGCTTGCAAATTGCATGACAGAATGCTAGACTGCATGGAATCTGTTATGTTTAAGGTTATACAAGCAAGCCCCATTTGGTTTCTTCCACCCTAAAGTTATGAGATAGCTAAATATATTTCCATTGATTTATGGTACCACTTTTGGTTCCACAAAGCTTCAAATACATCCATCTACAGTTCTCTTGATACTACTGTCCTCTGTTGCCATATTTTGTATTGTTTTCCCATTGAATTCCTGTTCATTTGAGGCAGGGGTCCCCAACCCTGAGTCATGGCCCACTACCAGACCTTGGCCTGTTTGGAACCAGGCTACAGAAGTGGTGGGTGAGCATGTGCAGGCGCACAGATCCATTTGTGGCAGCGGCAGGTGAGCGTGTATAGGCAGTTCCATTTGTAGAAGTGGCATGCCTGTCGGCTCGCTGCTCGCACAGAGGTGCAAGCATACTCCTCCACTGTGTGCACATAACCATTCCTTCTCCTCCCCCCTTCACCACTCCAAAGGTTGGGGATCACTGATTTAATGGTACAATCCTATGAAATGTATGTATGATGTGTGGGTGTTGCACATAATATGGTAAAAACTGGAGTATGGAGAATTGGAAACTAGCATCTACTGCAAACCTATGCACACAGACCAGATCCCCAGCTTCACAAGCAACCACCCCACCGCATACAAAAGAAGTTATGACTAAAACTTCTTCAGAAGGATCAGGACACACTGCAGCACCACAACACTAAGAAAAGCGGAAGAGAAACAGCTGCTTGACATCTTACTCCTTAACCGTTATCCAAAAAACTTCATATTCCAACACACAGCACCCAAACCATAACACACCATACAGCCAACCACCAGCATGCCCATGCTCATGTAATCAAATCTGGAGGCTTGGCAACTGGTTCATATTTATGACATTTGCCAGGTCCTGGGGTCATGTGATTCCCTTTTGCAACCTCCTGACAAGCAAAGTCAATGGGGAAGACAGATTCACTTAGCAACTGTATTACTAACTTAATAACTGCAATGATTCACTTAGCAACTGTAGCAAGAAAGGTCTCCAAATGAAGCAAAACTTACTTAACAAATGTCCCACTTAACAACATAAAGAATATGTAAATAAAAAGGAAGTTAATGTGTTATTAAATAATGAACATTGAATAATGAGGATAATGCAAAAATTATGATTAATAGATTTGGACAATAATGGTTACAAATGTGATGGTTGTGTGATGTTTATAATGTTTGATGTTATTAACTAATTATAGATGAAACCAAACAGAGCGTTTAATTAAATAATGGAAAATGTTTAATAAGGATATGTGAAGAATATGGTGAATAGATTTTGACAATAATAGTTATAGCTATTGTATAAGGTTTATTATTTGTATTTAAGAGATTATACCCAATTCAGTATGAATTTTTACAATTTGGTTAAAAAAACCTTTTCAAATGATCAGTCTATTATGAGGAGTTGCCTATGTCAATATGCACAAAGTCATGTGTGCATTTCCATTGATGTAAGACTCAGGTTTTAATGAAGGGTCACTGGTCAGCTGACACACAGGACTAGTAACCTCTCCCATCTTCAGAAACTTTCCTAAGGCAAACCAAAAATGTTCAATTCTTGTTACGCTGGATTTCTCCTTTTGCAGATGCTGATAGGTGTGCTGTTTATCTCCTAAGTGTGATTAGA